ATGCCAAAAAGCTATTTAGGTGGTCACTCACTAACCCAGAGAGAATGGAGAATTCAGAAGAAACGATCCCTTTGTTTTTTAATGATTAGTTTAAAATTAAAATAGGTTATGCTCACAAGGCAGAATTTACATTACTGTTCCTATCCCATCACACTACTGATCATGTCCAGCATCCAATTATTTCTTAATCCAGTTGGATCATACCCCTGTAACTCATGCCAAATTCTATTACAAATCCACTATCACACTCCAGTGAAACAGGATAAATAATCAGATTTCATTTAAAAAAAAACCTGCACAGTGAATACCTGCGCTAGAAGTTATGCAAAGTTGGGAGATTCATAGGCTTAAAGTTCTCCTAGATATGCAGCTCCACATTAGAGACTAATCTGAAGAACAGGCAAGCACTAATCTGCACAGATACTTACTGATGCAATAAAAAAGGAAAGCCTGTAAGATTAGGACCACTATTGCGTAAAAGATTGTTTCTCAATTAAATTTTGTAAGAGATGTATCTGATTGGTGAACAATAAATTGAAATTAAGTCCACTAAAATCAATATAGCAATCACATCTTGTATCCCTGAGGCGCCACCAGTAGCCAGTTGTGAGACCGCAAAAACTTTGACTTAAATTAGAAGTTGTGATCTGATCATCTGATGCTGTGTTTCCAGTGATGATGTCTTCTGTAAGAGGAACTCAGAAGAACAGACAACACGATATGCAACAAGGAACAGCAAGGCAGAGACTTATTGCATGGATTAAGGAGGCAGTTTTAGTTTTCACTACGAATTCTTTATTTTAAATATAATCTAGTTCCATATACTATTGCCTGGATAAGGGAGCTGCAAATATAAGATGTGTCTATTTGTCTAAAGATAGCAGCTGTAATTATGTGTCAGGGGGAAAAAAACCCGTATCTTAGCTGAATGAAGAATTTTTTCTCTTGAACAGGTTATTTCTGAAAGAGCTGTCTCTCGTACTTGCCTGGAAAGAACGGTCATCAATGTTCACACTAACTTAGATTTTTGAATCTGAATTAATTAGAAAGTAAATATTTTATTTTGCTTCCTTTTGCATTGCCTGATTTAAAAAAAAAAATACTTTGCAACAAACTCTCTGCATGTTCCCTTGTATAACAGTAGTATTTTTTTAGGCTTCCACCCTTTCTATTATTTAAAAAACAAATAAATGAGTTCAGTTATTTCATTGAGGCACTTCACAACACTGTTAAGAGTAGCACTACTCTAAAGAGCAAAATCTGAGAGATATGTTTAAAGTTAAACATTTTCCTGCATGGAAAGGCTTCTCTCCCCCTATTTACTTTTCCTTTTACATTTTGTATTTATTTTTTCATTCTCTTCATTACTCCCACATGTAGCTCCCAAAGATGTCGCAGAGGATACTCAGAAAAGCTTCTGCATACTGAGAATACAAGTCCTTCTAAAGGGCCTTTCTGCCTACCATCTTTGATTTCTTCTACTAGGATTCAGCTTTCTTAAAGCTGCTTCTGAAGCTTGGAAAAGTACTATGGATTAAAAATCTGTAAAACACCGCTTTAGGCAGTCAAGTACATCTTAGCAGAGCTGCTCACAATCCTTCCCACAGCTGAGAATGCAGTGTGCCCAATCTATCATTAATCTTTACTGTCACACACAAAAAAGTTCCTAAGAAGAGTGAAGTCACCACCCACACCCTTCACAGAGAGGATAATCCAAGTTTTCCATGACGCAATGTGACTGAAAACACCATTACCAAAATCCCTCTCTACACTCCATCAGAGATGTATATATTATTTACACATCAGATAATTATTTCAGTATTAAATCCTTTCTACTGTGAAATACAGGCAGCTACGCCTAAGCAAGCTCAAATAATCACCTAAAACATAATTCATAACACTCAGAGAGACTGCATGAAAGGATCAGTGAAAAATGACATGGTTAATATCAGGACATTTTGTTTGCAAAGGGCAACCAGCATCCAATTACTGCATTCATATAAATAAGTATTTTACATTCCAAACCAAACACAGTCTAGTCTTTTTGGTGATTTCAGACAGGCTTTTCTTCTATAAAGACAGAGATATAAGCCTTAAATCTCTCATATCAAATTATGTAACAAACAACATCTTATCAGTAGATACCTATCTTGCCTCCAGTTTAGAATGTTAAAATTGTTTATATGTTACATGTCAAGACTTTCTCGAACTACTTAAATAGTCTTTAGGACTAGAAATATGAATACACAAACTGAATGCTTCCATGCTGTTCGCTCCATCCCCTTTTACCCCTAGAAGTTTACCAGTGCGCAGAGCAAGTCTACTGCTTCCAAGATAAGCTCCTGATGGCCAATTCGTGTGACTCCAAGATCTTCCAGTTCTTGATGAGTAATACGTAGTAGCTGGTCACCACTAATCTTCTCCCTCTCAAAGTTCTTAATATATTGCTGCAGACAGTCATCCAGACCTGCCGAAACAGGAGGAGAGAAGGAAAGAGGAAAGTTAGTAACATTTTGTACTGGCATAGGAAGATGAATCAAACTGGACTGGAATCAAAAATCAAGCCAACAAAGGATATTTGCCATATTTTGAAGCAAAATATATAAACATTATAAGTGCAAGTAATACAATTTTATGGTGCCCTGAAATCATAACATATGGAGAAGTAGGGTGGCTTCATGGTTTTTTCTGCCTCTGAACAATACCTACTGCTCCTGAAGCCAGAACAGAGCCCTGAATTTTTGTAGTACACCGTGTCATGAATGCATATCTGACAGCCTCCTAATAATAAGCAAGCTAGCAATGCCTCCGTTATATCAGGGAGGGGAGAGGAGAAGAAGGAATAAGGGAAGGAAGACTTACTGCCTTCCCCAGGGGCAATATATTAACAGATGCTATTAATTATTGGAGCACAGTATGAGACTAGAAACAAGGGAAAGCATTTTTGCCAGAGAAATTCTAAGAAGTAACGGGAGAGGGAGTGTGTTTAATGCTACACATCCAGGAGTGACTATCCAGCGGTGCTTCTTAACCTGTCTCCCAGCACACCTCTGGCACGGTAGGCTGCATGATGAAAACAGCCTGCCGGAGATGTCCACAACTAAGAACATCTCTCTTTGCTGGACTCCTGACTACAGTGCCCCATTAAGTGACACACAAAATGGTAGTGCCACATCACAGTGTCACATCTCCTCCTCCAAGACCATACGTACCAGGCTGTGCTGCTTGATAGTTCACAGACCCATGCTAGCCCCCAGCATGAGACACCAAGGGCTCTGGAGAACAAGAAAGGTGGTAGCACTGCAATGCATAAATGGAGCTCACAACTGCAGCAGCAGATCCAGCTCACTGTATCTGAATTCAGAGACTATGCAGTCACTAGTGACAGAAAAAAAGCTTATCGAACATGGAAAACCACTCAAATCAAGATCTGGGTGTACACTGCAGAACAGGGTAATCAGGGAGTAGAAACAGGTACATTATGCCAAAAGAGACCTAAAAGTGGCTATATCTTGTTTGCCCAGGACACAGATGAACAGAGGTTTGTCCCAGTCCTGAGTTGAGGAAAGTTGGGCCACCCCTGCTCTAGCTTTCAGTTTGCGTGTCAGTCTAACGACATGTAGCTGACCTACTTGTTTTTGCCTGGAGCAAAAAGCACTGCAGAACTCGAGCTAGTCTGTCCTGCATTTCTTCCCTTGCAATCTTTGCCCAAGAGGGCCAGAATGGCACAGGGAAGCTCTGCAACATATGCCTGCATCTAGAGGATGAGGAAGACTCCTGGGTTTTCAGGGTTGCACACTAAAACTTGTCAAACTGAACGCCCTCTGATGGATGTACATAATTGCTCCTGAACAGCAATATTTGATGAAACCCAGAATATACTAATTTAGCTGTATCCTGAGAGATAACATCTCTCTGATGGAGGTCTTCAAACAGTCACAGCCAGCACATACTTCTTTCCTCAACGATGAGAAGGAATCTGCTCTTTAGGTTGTAAGGAAGTAAGATTGTACTTGCTAATCAAAAGGCCTGAAAAATCTGAAGATATGTGGAAGAGAAAGGATCTATCTGACTGCTAAGCATGAGACTCACAAGAGTCCCAGCTTACAGCAGAAGCTTCGCTGAAGGTGGTTTTGCAGCATTTTTGGTTCTCTTCCACCCTTTTTAGAGTGCAGCCACACCTCCAGAGAAAATCACACAAAGAAAATATTGGTAGTCTAGTAGTCCAGGCAGGGACACCCCACTGCCAGGTCAGCCTGCTGCTCCAGACTCAGGAAACACATGCTTTGCCCTTACTACATCCCACCAATACCCTACACACACCAACACAATCTTCGTGTGGCTTTAGGTTTTGGTGCATGTATTCTAAAAATTAAAGCACTTGCAAACATGCTGCAAATAAAACTCTCGAGGCCCAAGACACAAGAAATTCTCTTTATGCAGTCCCCAGCTTCAGCAGACTCTGCCTACCTGACCATCCTTCTACAGCCTGCCACCAGGTTTCCCACCTCTGAAATGAAGCCACTTTACAGGGGCAGTTAATCAGGCATTTTGGGCCACATTTTCCATTTATTTCCCTAAGTCAAATAGTTGCTCAAATTATTCATATACTCTGTTACAATATATCAACAGAGGACTAAAATGGTGATCCAAAACTGATCATGTATCACATCCTGCCATGCAGTCTGGCTCTCAGATATGTATTACCAGCTTGTGAGGAGCTAAAATTGTTCCATAATTCTCCAATAAGGAAAGTAGAAACTGTTTCAACTCTCAGTAAGAACAATGATCTACTGAAGTTTTTATTTCTCCTAAGTTTTATTCCTCTATAGAAGGGAAAACAGAATCATCAGAGGCACCAAGACTGATCCCTAAAATGACTTGGTTGTCAAACATACTAACAGAAAAGAAGACAGAACACTCACAGAGGCCAAAACAACATGGCCTGCTGCTTTGTGGGGTGTCACCACATGCCCTGTATCTTTGATATTATTCCCTTTACGTTTGAATAATGGATACTCAGGTTCTGGACCTAGAACTGGTTGTTAAATAAAAGTAAAGTGTGACTATAAGAGTGCTGTATTGTAGAAGAGGACGATCTTAATCTCTTTCTTTCTTAGACACCAGTGCTTCTGAGCATGTCACAGAGCCCGAGTCCTGTGCGTTCCCAAGGCATTTTGATGACAGCCCTCAATTCATCCAAATGCTGCCATCTCTCTTGTACATACTACGCAATACTCATTACAGAGAAGCAGCAATAAAAATCACACACAGTTTTACCAAATATAACTAATCATTTCTGCCTGACACCTGGAAGAAAGGCCACTTACCAAGTCCCAGATCTGTAAGAACTCATTTGGATATAAAATTTAAATACAAGTTGCAAAAGGAAATCATTTTCCTCAAGCCCTCTTCAATCCATTTTACTTGTTCACACACACACACACACTCACTCGATACCCCCACCTCAGCGTATCTGACCTGAACCTTCTTGATTTATCCATACTTGTACAAATAATCTCCAGGAGCTCTTTTAAGCCTAAGTTTCTCATTTGGTAAACTAATTGCACGAACTATTTTACACGTGCAGTGTCAAGTATGATGGCATTTATTTTTTGAAAGAAAATGAATATTCTTGACAACACATAAAACACTTCCTCTAAAAATGTATTAAAAATAGAAAACGGATGTGCCTTTGCTAAATGACTAAAAAGGAAAGCAGTAAGTATTTCTGATATTCCTGAACTTAAGTCCTACACTGCTTACATACACTGCTGGATGAGAATAATAAAGTTAAAATATTCAACGCCACCAGGTAAAAAAAAAACCCTATCATGACAGACTAGTAACACAAATCCAGAATGAGACACTGCAGACGCATTTAATAAACACTTACTGTAAGTTAATTCTAAATAAAGCCAATGCTCTTCCCCCTCCTGCTATCTATGTATTTTTATCACTCAGCTATAATACCGGTTGATACATATAGTTCATACAAGGTAAGAAAAAAATTAAAGAAAACAAAAATATTACTGACAATTGCTTGACTCACCAATTTCGTAAAAACCACATCCAGGAAAGAACAAAATAATTTAACTGTAGATTGCATGACATTTTCAGAATAGCTTGCCACAATTACTTCCTCTTATTCCCTAAATAGAATATCCTTTTAAAAAGTTATTTATTTCTGTCATTCTACTCCTTAATGAAAGAGCAGAAACACTTTTTGTCAGTAAAACTGTGCACGGACAAGAAACAATAAAGCCAGTCAGCTTTCCCCACCCACACCTTTTGTGCCCCAGAGCCACGGCAGACAGGACTGTTCGTCAGTGCCCAGCAAGTCTCCATTGCTTTCAAAGCAGCAGGAGGGGAACGGCAGGGGAGGCACGGTCCTGGCTGATAAATCCATTTACTCTGGGACAGGACAAGATGTACCCAAAAACTTCAAGTGCCGACTTCGAGAGCCTTCTGCAGAGAAGCCGACCGTGGAAGTACAGCCTTTAGAGCACTTCTGTCTTACAATATCTCTTTAACTCCAGGCATTCATCCTTCCCAACCTCACTGCAGTAAGAAATTTTTCTAATTGTCACTTTCTGTTCCTCTTCTGCCCCCAGATGCTCTCATACCCAAGGATGTCATACAGCCCATGTCCTGCAGCAATCCCAGCAAGCAACTCGACTTGAGGCACTATCCCCTGCTCCCAGCCTTGGGTGTGATTATGGGTGCCCAGCATCTCATAGTCCTGGATGTCTCAAGAACAGTGGCCTCTACCCAAAAATTCAGGTTAGTCATCATATTCTGGCTGCATAAGGCCCAGAGGTACATCACGCATGTTTTGTGATGTCAATAAACAAGTCAGAGTCTCATATTCAACGATAAAGAACAGCCCACCCACTCCCACAGAAAACCCCCCCAAGATTTTGTGGGTATACGTAAAGGAACAAATGCTCCAGTTATGAGGGTGCTTAATGTAAAATCATACGATGGCACCCTTCTTCCTTTCAGACCTAATCTTTAAAATTAACTCTATACAATCTCTTTTTTGTTTTTTTTTTTTTCTTCTAAAGAAGAATAGTCCTTTCATTGTGCTCATGAAGAGGAGAGACTTCCAAGGCTGTTACCTACAGAAGAGTCACTCCCCCACCTAGGATGCTTCCACCTGAGCTAATCAACCATGGAGTTTTTCAGCGTTGTCCAGATCTCACTATACACTCGTTACCTGGCCAATTTCATCGGGGCCTAGAAGAGTAGATGTTAAGTTAATACACAGTACGTTTTTGCCAGGTGGAGTACCACTGAGGTGTTATGTACCCAGATTCAGTCTTCTGTGTATTAACAGAAAAGAAGCAATTATTTTCATTAAGTTTAAAGCAAGCTCTACCTTATTGTGGACTAAACAAATAAAAACCAATAGCAATGCTCCTCCAAAAGAAACAGCTCCAACACCAATGTGTTTAACACTAAAAA